CGAAATGGACCAAACAGATCTGACGGGAGCTCGATAACCACGGTGCGCGCTCTCATGTCAACGACGTGACAGCTCACGCAGGCGTATTTCTGCGTGATGGCCCACTGTGGGAATGGAGGCATGCCCAACGATAACATTGAGCGTTGTGTTAGGATTTAGACTTATGGTTAAGCTTAATGTTACGGTACAGGTTTGGTTTAACCTTAGGCCTGGGAAATGGGAATTGCGGATTATATAGCAAGGTCAACACTATTAAGTGGGACGAAGGCTAAAGGTTTCTAGTCCCTATCTTTGCGGGGGGGATACACGCCATTGTGAACCGGATTTCAGAGCAAAGAGAATGCCGGATAACATGCAATTATTGGAGGGTTTTCCGCGTGAGGGCGACAAAAGTCTCATGGACATATCGAGTCCACAGTTTTTACTTGTAGCTGACTAAAATTGAGCTTCTACTTTTTAGAGAGCTGCGCTCCGATGCAGACCAAGAGCGGCGATAACACTGACTTCCATTCAACCTGGTCCTACGTTGTCCTCTGTAGGATGAAATAACTCGTTGATTAAGGTTCACCGGTCACTAATGGACCTCACTTGCCCGACACAGACAAGGGAGACTGGAATGGCAATGTCTGGCGCATTTGCCGTCGTCAGACAGTTACACCCACCCCGGGTGGCGCAACACCCCAGGATAGAACCCGTGACCTTCTGATCAGACTTCTAACGTTTTTATCATTGAGGCACTGGCTACTCATCTTGCCGATTTAGATCGAAAGTACTTATTAAGGAAGTGGAAACTTATAGTAAGATCGGTGAATAATCACCCATAATCCCAGCACCAAAAATTAACAGGAATTGTACACCATCAAGGTCTGGGGGTTGCTAGGAGGTAACGCCCCAAAAGGATAAGAGAGGAACCTTACTTTTCTGGGACCGATGATGACAGATTTGGAAATGAGTCACAATGCTATCGCTAAGTTAAATTTACGAGAAACGAAGAATATCACGAAATTCAGATAGTGGCTTTATCCTCTCACCCACACCACCAAGCACGAGGGTTTTGCCTTTGCAGCTGGACACATTCCAATGAGTAGGGCATCAT